TACCTTTGGAAACTCAAGTTGCGATGCTTGAGGGGATTTTCCTCTCAGGATTAAAGTGTGTCACCTGCACTGTAAATGTCTCTTTCCTGGCAAGCCCTGCAGAGGAGCTGGAGTAATCACTAGCAGAGAGAAGAGCTGGCTATGTCTCTGTGTTTTCACTCAGGCGGCCTTGGCTCAGCGACAGTCACCGCCTGCACAACAATTTTCTTTATGATTAATGTTTTATAGCCAGATTTGAGACATTTTGCATACTCTTACAAACGAAATCTTTGTACCAGTGTGACTTTTAAACAGTTACACTTAATGCCCTGTTTTAAGCCCCGTAAGTCCCACAGGCAGAGAGTAGAACTTTGGTGAAACACTCTCCTCTTGCATGAAAAATGTTGTTGACAGTGGAGCTGTTTGTTTTCATGGAAGCAATAATGCTGCACCATGTGAGACTCAACCAGACCACAATCTCTCATATAGAATTACTTGGAATTTGTCAACTCTAATTGGCTGCAAGCACCGAACTGTGTGTGTGTGTGTGTGTGTGTGTGTGTGCATGTGTGAACCATCTCAGGGTTGGTCGCCTGTCAGTTTGAGTATTAATGTGACTTGAATGGAGCCAAGGTGGCATTAATGTCGATCTCTGTGGGCCACGTGTGATTAAATTGTGGCTGAGGGGTTATTATAATGCCACGTGTCTGTGTTGACCGGCCACGGGGAAACAAGACACCACAAGTGTCCCAGTAAAACCAGGCCCAGCACATACCGTACGGGCAAACACTCAAACACAACACAGAGAGACAGAGCTGACCTCAGACAGCGGGACAGACGGCTGTAAAACAGCAGCAGTAACTGTTCATATCTGTGGTGTTCAGACCTGCCAAGGATTGGATCTGCTTGTATCTCTGCTTCCGCTGGTGTGTGTGTGTGTGTGTTTCTCTGGGTTCTCCAGGTTCCTCCCACAGTCCATTGACATGTTCTGTTTGCCTGCTGGAAACATCTTATCTGTGGAAATGTATGATAAGCTTACTAGAAGGTACTGGTCGAGGAAGTCCATCTGTCCATTATCTATATACTATTATCCTCTGATCCAATGATCCTAACCCCAACCTGCATGTCTTTGAGTACCTGGAGAAAACCGGTGTAGACACAGGGAGAACATGCGAACGCCACCACGCCACCTCCCGGTGGAGGAAGTACTCAAACATTTTAAAGGTACAGTGTGTAGAATTTTGTGATATCTAGTGTTTCATGTTGCAGCTGAACACCCCTCACCTCACCCTCTCCTTCCAAACATGAAAAAGAACCTGTGGTAGACTTTAAGTGTCATAAAAACTCAAAAGGTGTTTAGTTTGTTCAGTCTGGACTAATGTAAAAAACATGGCGGCCTCCGTAGAGAGGCCCTCCATGTAAATATAAAGTATTTGAATATGAAGTATTTAAATATAAAGGGTCTTTTCTGGGGTGAAGAAAACTACAATTCATACAATTTAGATGAAACGAACTCGTGAATACATCATGAGGATTATTCTACATTACATTTCTGCCAATAGTTCCCTTTCACGTAAATCTTACACACTGGACCTTTAAGTAAAAGTACAAATCAATCGACACAATTGTACTAAAGAAGAATTACTGCATTAACATGTCTGCTTGAGTAGAATGTAAGTAAGTACTTGCTTTTAAAGTAAAGTGCACATGATGATTAGATTACAGCCTCTTGGTAATGTATTCAAATGTAGTATACTGTTGTATGTAAACTGATGTAGTGTTAATCTCAGCAGTCTCGTCTGTCTATAACTGTGTTGGCTGTGAACATGAGACAATTAGCACCTCATCACGTTGACTGACCTCTAATTTTATCTCTGCTTCTCAGTCTGAACACTGCTGCTTTTGGCTCTGACTTTTACCTCGAGTTTCTCGTAAAAAGAAAAAGAGCAATGACGGAATGAGCTAGAATTTTTTTCGAGCTGTATTGTTGACATTGGATATACGCATCATGGCAAATGGAAGACAAATAGATCCTGTGTTCTTGGAATAACCACGTAATCGTTGATGTGGTGCTCCGTCACGTTCAAAGTCAAAGTTTCCTGCTCGGAATGGTCTGTTGAGAGTGATCCTTTAATAGTCTCACCCCATTTGGATAGAATTTAATTCTGGAAAGGGGAAGGGATTATTTTTTGATAATGTGTATGCTGATTATAGCTTTTAATCCTTTTATGGCTACATGTGTCTGATATTATCCCCCCCTCTCTATTTATGTTTCATTTACGCATCCAGATATCTGGTGGTTTTCTGGTACATTCAGATGCTATTAAAACAGACACGGGTCAAGTGATTTTTATTTTGCAACAGAATATTGTCTATTACTAACCACATCTTGCCATTTGTAGATTGATAACCTGCTGCTGATGGATCATGAGGAGGGGGATGGAAATATTATCTCACCCAACTCCCTGGAATATAAATCCCGTCCAAATGAGGCTATAAGGGAGACTTGCTAACTTGAGTGGTTGTGACTCAGTGTTATTGTTAAAAATGTGCTGTGAAAACACTGAAACCAGAGGGGGGGGGGCAGTGTGCTTTTAGTCTGTGGGCTGAGTTGAATACGTCATCCTCTATGTTCTCAGATCAATTACAGCAACAGTCAACAACTGGGTCAAAACGTGGGTCAATATGGACGTCAAATCGTTTTTTTTAAACACCGGTTCAAACTTGTATACAACCCACAAATGTGAACAGCAACACTTTGACTGTAAAATCTTCATTGCAGATTAACGAGGTTGGATCAAGTGGCAGTAGAGACGTACAGGAAATATGGGCACAGTAATGATGCGTGGGTTCTGGTCTGTGCGTCTGTTTGTGTTTCTTGACATCATCTTAATTTCTGCAGTCAACAGCTTAATTGGTGTTTACTACACAGCAGGATGCGACAGAGCGACTAAAGTAGAATCTGTTGAGTCGACTCCTCTGAACTCACCTCTGCAGATAACACTCATCAAACTAATTGCCTCTCATTAGCTTTATATCCAGCCACTTATAACTGTTACGTCAATATAAGGCATTTTGTGGTTTTCTTTTAGATAAGCAGCTGCGTGTGATGTTGTTCCTGTTGCTTAGATATAGTTGCAAAAGAAGCGGGTTGAGCCAGATGACGTGACTGAAAGAGTGCCACTTAAACCTCAAAGAAAACATGATGGAAATAATGACACACGTGTTTCATGTATTACTGTGATACAGTCTCCTCGTGGCTTTTACACGGATCTGATGTTCTGTCTCTTCGGTGAAACACACCGGAAGTAGCGTTTAAGTTTTGGTGTTTCCTCTCAGGTGATTGTCTCACAGTGAATTCAGAGAAGGTTGCATGCGCTGATCTGTGTCGTGTTAAGCTCCAAAAAGAGCTCTGATGTTTTGGGCAGAAGTAAAACTGAACTCATGAGACTCAGATGCTTAAGCTATTATCCCCGCAGCTCCCTCAGCCTGTAAAAACTGAAAACATACCTTTGTTCGACGACCCCCCCCCCCTACAGCCAAGTATTACACAGTAGTTATATAGATACCAATTACTTTTTTTAATGGTGTGTTTACCACAGCTCTTAATTGCTAGCTCAGGTTTTCTGTCTGGACTAAAGATCGAGGCTAAACGACAACATTACATTTAATTGTCAAGTAGTTTATGAAAGTGAATGAAGTGGAATGAAGGAAATCCGAGGTGTCATCATAGAAGCTGAAGAGATTTGATGAACAGTTTTTAGTTTCCAAGATTTTGCCCCATTCAGGTAACATTAAAGAGCACGTGTGGATGTTCTCTAACAGCAGAGACCACGTCAGGTTCCACTCCTGTCAGCAAAGAACAGAATGGATAAAACCATTGAGCGAACCTGCCTTGTGTCAACCGTCCAGGCTGCTGATGGTGTGATGGTGTCAGGAATGTTTCCTTGACTCACTTTGGGCCCTAATATCAGTCAGTCATGGTTTGAATGTCACAGTCTGAGTATTATCGCTGACCATGTTCATCTCGTTATAGCTTCTAATTGATACCTCCTGCAGGATCGTACACCGTGTCACAAAGTTAAAGTCCTGAAACTGTTTTGTGAACCTGACAGTGAGTTCAGTGAACTTCAGTGACCTCCTCAGTCATCATCAGATTTTTTTGATTGAGAAATGGCTCAAGGAATCTTGACTAAATCTTCTTACAGCTGAACCAGTGGATGGTTTGTTATTAATTACACCTTCTTCTCCTCTGCAGTTGTGCGAGTTGAACAATCAAAACACTTTTAGTGATGGTCTTTTTTTTTACAACAATCTATAATTTGGCTTCTCTTGCAGTATAAAATACCATGAAAATAAGCATCCACGTTGAAGCCAGAAATGGCAGCTGGCATAACTTGTTTATCCAAAGCTTCTCCGAGAAAAAAGCTGAGCAAAGTGGTAAATGGCCAGAACAAGCTAATGAAATAACTTTATTAGGGCCCACATGAAGTGAGCAAACATTTAGCAGAACATTAAGCCCTGAGGGAGGTCCTTGGTTCGCTGAAGTTTTAAACAATGTTGCTTAACAGCATCTGCATGGTATTAAACATTTCAGGGTGTCTGCAAGTCTTGGAGTCTCACAGGATCTGAAATGATGCTAAGGCCTGGGCTCAGTATGAGACTGCATTCAGACTGTGCTATAGGCTGGACTCAAATCTGTGTGGGAATGCAGTGAGGCACGGGTTTCATCTAAAAGGATTGGCTGGTCTGAGGACAAGATCAGTCGGTACTTGTCAGGTCAGGCATGATGAAAAGGTCACTGAACTTGCAGACTGTCTGAAAGCCAGCAGGTTAATCAGCTGTTGCCAAGGTCACGAGACACTAGACGCACTTATTTGCAGAGAGAAGCGTTTCGGCCCACCCAGATCCCAAACCCCTAAAAAACACAGGTCTCTAAAACTTGAGTAACAGGAAGAACAGACTTGATCTTGAACGTTGGTACTAACTTGAAATGGCTGTCGTGTGTTTGTAAATTTCAGGTGGCTGGATGTGAGCGTAGCCAACCTGACATCCACGAGTTTCTGGGTTGCGTACCTGCAGGTCATACAGGAGGCTGTATGGCCCGGCGGAGCTCTGCCTACGTCCCCTCAGCTTGAACGCAGCCAGCAGCAGAGGGACAGCACCAGACAACAAGCCCTACACTGTCTGATGAGACTCCTACCAGGTACATGTACACACGGAGATTGAGGATAATGTTGAAAAATGTTGGGGAACCACCGTGAACAACAGGTGACAGCCAATTAGCACATTCAACACAGAGTTGTGTATATTTATCTGTCCTTCTTCTATTTGCCTCTCTCTGTGCCCAGACACATTTTGGTACAAATGAATTCAGAATAAAGTTGTCCTCCTCACATTTCTGTTTTCAACTCCCTCAACTCTCCGTATTATTGTGTTTTTACAGATCTGGTCTCCGACATGTTGGGACAAGACAAGTACAAACTCAGCTGGCAGACTGCACTGGACTCTCTTCAGGACCCCTACATTAACAGGTGAATATACTTTATCATTTAAAACAAATGGCCGCCATTCTCACAAGTTTGTAAATACGTTGGGGGTCCCTCCCTGTTTGAAACGTAGCCAAGATGGCGTTGGTCGATGGTGAGAAGCGTTGATGGTGCTTGTATTGTTTTTTACCCACCCTGTGTTCGACGTCACGGATGCATCAGAAACTGAAAAGCTCTCTCACCTCGCCATCTTGCTCGTGTTGCATTTTGCATGACACAAAGCGAGAATATCTGTGGCACGCTGTTCCCAAACAAAGTATTGAAACGTTCATGGCTGTTTACACGCAACCGCTCAGAAGTTAAACGATCATCACAGCAGCTCCGAAAAAGTGCTGCGTCTGTGTCAAAATAAAGGGCGTCATGTTTTCATCAGACCCATTCGGAGCCAAAGCCGCTAACTGTATCTCAGCAGAGTCATTTGACCGGGAGTGAGTAGTGATCGTATCCATTCTCATTGCAGCCAGAAGACAGATGTTACTGGGGTTTTCTTTTTTTTTGACCAGTTGAAAAGGGGCTTAAGTTAACATGCTGGAGTTAGCAAGACACCAGTGTCTCCAAGTACAGTCTCACAGAGCGAGCTGTAAACTCTGATCCGACATTAAAGCCTCATCGTCATAATTCTGACTCTCTAGAGGCAAATTGGTGCAGTTTTCTTTCCAATAGAATATTCAAAATCATAAATCCAGGAAATAATGTCAGTAAGAAAATCTCTATAGTACCTTCACACACACACACACAGAAACACACACTCACTCCATTACAACCCTCCGTGTTCCAAGAGACCACTGTTCCAGTTCGGTGACTGTAACCTCAACTTTATGTTCTTAGCTGACGGGAGTTAAAGCAGGTCGTCACACACAGTTACCAGTTCACTTCAGAATTCATTCACAGAAAAGTGTGTGGTGATTTCCCTCTGGCCTCTCTGCTCCTCTGTGCTGTTGCCTCCGCAGTAATCTGAGATCTGCTGGAGAGAGACCACCTCCAGGAACAATATAATGACACCACAGCATCCGCCCACCTCACAGGTCATGTCCCCTCTGATGTCAAACTGAATGAGCCTCTTGAATGTGGCTGCGTGCTTTGTTCACTCGGACGCAGCCACATTGTTTGCTGATGGAGGAGCTGGCTTGTTATCAAGCAGATGCATCTAATCAAGTGGCCCGGGGAGAGTGTGAGCTCACTCACACAGAGACAGAAACACACTCGGCATCATATGGCGAAGACTCGTTTCTCTGCTAAACAACAGGCTGTTGACTGAAACCGTACGCTGTTTCCTTTAATCACGACGCGAAACAAGGAACGAGAAGCCGTCACGTTTCCCTTGTTGCCCTCTGTTACCACTCAGCTCTGCTTCTTCATCATTTCAGTGGTATGTTGGAGGATTTCTTCATCAAAGGGCGGCTGTTTACCCCATTTAAGAAATTTGCCATTTAGAGTGTGAGTGTAACTGATCTCAGACCACCTTGTTTGGGTGGATGTTTTGTCTGAATATTGTTTTCAGTTTGTTGTTTTGCCTCTGGGCTGTACGCAATGTGTTTTGGGTTTTTTGCATTCGTCAGTCGCACTCTTGAGCGTGAAACCTCTCAAATTCAGTGAAAACATTCACCTGGACTCAACGATGAAGTGATAAGAATGAGGTGGTTAGAGGTCAACTCAAGAATTCATTCATATATGTGTATATATATATATATATATATATATATATATATATATTAGTGTAAGTAATAACTAAAAATCATAATTCTAGAGATCTGTGATCTTTGTGCTGAACTGAGTCCAGAATTAATTAAGTTATTGAATTATTTGTGAATTCAATAATCCTGCAGTTTTGGATGATTAAAATACGACCAGGCGATATAAAAAGGTCCCTCTCAGTCTGACAGTGTGAAGCAATCCCCTTTTTTTGCCTCCACCTTTGAATTCGATCTTTCATCCTGTTCTCTTAGACACCTGGTCTACTGTATATTTGACCTTCTGCTGGAGTTCCTGGTTCCTGAAATACCTGAGGAGGATTTCCAGAGGAGGCTGCTGCAGACCCTCTCTAAAAACCCGGAGAAGTCGCTGGCCTGAGGAGACGACCGACTCGAACACCTTCAAATCCAGCTTTAGTTTTTCATCGTCCTGACTCGACATTCCGCTCAGACGAGAAGCTGAAAAGCAGCTCGACATCGAGGCTGCTCCTGTTCTGCTAACGTTCTGTGATCACAGTCTGAGTGAATATTTCTGGTGAGACTTAATATTGTCTGTCCCCACTTTAATCTCCCGAGGTCCGTCTGCTCTGTCTCTAATTATGTGTTGATGCATTGACATGAGGCTCTTGAGGCGCTCTGTATCTGAACACACACGTTTGAAGAAGCATTAATTACATGAGAGCGCCTGGTTTGTGTTTGATCCAACGTGTTTGTGCTCGATCGTGCGGTGAGATCCAAACATGTGGCAAAGCACTGTCCGTTGTCTCCGTCCAGACTAAACTCACTACAGATGGTTTTCACACTCGGTCCCCTCCCACAGTCTCTGGAAACAAGGTCACAACTCTTTCTCTAATCTCGTGAAGCAGGATTTATCACCCCAACAATTAGCTGTTGATCTCAGCTTCATGTGTAAACCGTGATTCTGACATGAGCTATACTTCCTGTCGAGGGGACAGAGGTCTCTTGCGAATCACTGCAACTGTCCGAATGTAGGAAGAGAACATGCGAGTTGTGAGTTTCCAGTTCTTTTAATAAGTTCCACAGTGCAGTTAATATCTAAATGGACGTCTGCTGTTGACAGAGGTTCAGTCAGTCACTTTTTTGTTGGCTACTGTAAAACAGTGAACTGGCAGGCTGGTTAACCACAGGCCGTAAAACGTTGGTAAGTGACATAGAAGCAGATTCTTTTGTGCGATGAAGAAAAACCAACAGAAATTGTCTTGGTAAGACGTTGGGTCAACATGTGACACCAGAGCAGCTTCAGTGACTCTCTCGTTTCCATCCGTCCCAAAGAAATGTTCTCGTTTGGTGTTTTGATGATGTTGATGGTGGTGGTGGAAGGAGGGAGCTGTCAAACAAGCTGGTCCAGGATCAGCCATTGGTGTTCGACTGGTTTGAAATCTGGTGACTGTGAAGGCTCAGTTATGATTCACAACATTTCTATACTCTTAAACATTTAACCTCTCACCCTTCAGTCGACTTAGAAACCATCTGAAGAGGGTTTTAGTGGCGTCGCCACACAATCTGTCGGACACTGTAAACAAATCTATGAAGGTTTTCATGTTTATGAAAACTGCCTTATTCTCTTATTGCCTTATTTGTGGTAGTAACACAACAATCATCTCTTCAGTCCCACTTGGATAAAGAATGACCAGAAAACTTGTAACCTTAATGTTGTCTCTCACACACACACACACACACACACACACACACACACACACACACACACACACACACACACACACACTCACTCTTTTGTTCTGAAATGTTAAAACAGTTTATTCATGTGAAATGTTTCATTCTGTCTTTTGTGGTGAAAATCAAAGTCAGATTTTAATGTTACTCATCATTCCAGTGTTTTTGCACTTATACCTGCATCCTCGTCTCCAGTTCCTCTGTTTCTTTCCACTGTGTTGCCTTGTCGGTGTATTTATTAACCTATTTATGTGTTGGAAATATGAAGTAATGTCTTAACCTTCCAACCTTAAAAGAAGGAGTGAGGAGCTGATGCAGAGGAACCACCTGCAGTATTAGGAAGTGCTCTTCAACCCCTGGGTTTTGCCTCACAGGCAGATTGATGGAAGCGTGGTGTGGTGCAGCTGCAGAGAAACCATCGACCCTGATGAGCAGCCACTTGTTGCTTCCTGTGGTGAACCTGTTTACTGTTCTTTTAATTGTGAAGCGTTACAGTTGTTGTATGTTGGATTGTACATTTACTTTCTCTCTCTGTGTGATGAAGGAATCAGTGCATCCCTGCTTTAACAACATCTTTTCACAGTATACGATCATTTGTTTCGTGCTATAATGACATATTGATCTTGTCTTGATTTTCCAGTGGTCATATTAATCTGCACAAAACAATCTGAAAGCAGTTGACGACAATAAGAGAAAAAAAAAAACATCCTGCTACTACTGTGTGTTGCATAGACTGAATATTTTAATCATTATAACAATGTGCAACAACTTCTCTTATAATAAGAAAAGTCTGTATAATATTAGAACAGGGAACGTTCTGGCGTTGTGTTGTTGATTTTTGTGTATTTTTTGTGTAAACCCAACTGTTTTGTTATAAACACGAGTGATCATTTAATATGTCGCAATATCCAGAAGGGTCGAGCTGCAACAGCAAGAAGAATTAATGTTAAAAGGATCATGTTAAAGCATCGTCATCATAAAAACAGATCAGTATTTGTCATGTGGCTGTACTTTCCTGCTTCGATCAGTAGTTTAACGTTTGAATCCTAATAGTAAAATGCACAGTGCTTTTTTTTTTTTTTACTTAGAACTTTAAGTATTTATATTGAATGTTACGTAGAACAGCAGAGTTTTTAAGGAGAACTCTGCACAAGTTTATGTTGAGGTTTAAATTTCCTCTCTCCTCTGCACTGCTTTTCACGTTTGTGTCTTGTTGTCCATCAGACTCTAAAACGTGTGGTCGTGTTAGCATTAGCGCTGTGAATCCCTCTCTCGCCTTTTTCCTCTCACGGATTGTGTCACAGTCTTTTAAAATGCTGGATGGTGGTTCCTGAACACATTTGCCAACACAATAAAGTTACCAAACATGATTTATTCAAACTTCCAACTGTTGTTCGCACTCGTTGTTTTCTTGGCCTGAGGCGGTTTGTACATTTTACAGCAGGCTGGTGAGTAGCTGGCTTATATATATATATATATATATATATATTTTTTATGAGATTTCATTTTAAAAGTATCCCATGCCTGGTTCTAACTGTGCTGGAGTTTCTGTACTCCATACAATCTCTCTTTGCTGTGCTCAGTCAGCCCGCCACTAATTTGCTGTAGCCTGCAGACTCATGATTCATGTCCAACAACAACAAGGAGTGTGTGGATGAAAACCTCTAAACAACCCGTAATAAAGATCAGACCCATTTCTTGGAGAAGTTTGTGTTCAGCTCCACTTCTCTAACAACAGAGGGGGGGTGTGATGAGGTGGAGGTGATCCATCGTGTTCTTTACAGATAAAACTGTAAAGAACACGATGGATCAGTTCTGTTGAAAACTTAAATCGATGTATTTTCCCTGCAGAGCTTTTTGATGGAATCACACACACGTGTATATGTACGTGGCTTATGTAGAAGTTTGGCTGATTTCACTTTCCTCGTCGGCTCTTGTTGGTCCGACACAATATTTATACCAGAGTTCACAGCTTTTCAAAATACAAGTTCTGTAATTCTTATGCATTGGCCATTGTTGCTTTTACTTTGAAGACGACTTGCCAAAGTCAAAGTGATTCTCAGATCAGCATGTGTGACAGCAGTGAATGTCTCTGTCAGTCCTATGAGGTGAAATCATTCAGCTATACACTTTCAAGGCCAATTTACAACACACATGCCGAGTCTGAGGTGGATACATGACACGTGGACTTAGAAGGTTTCTGTATTATTGTGCTGAGAACACTTTCTGCTCTCTTCTTCATGAGCGTTCAGCCGTGTCACATGATCATGGGACTAATGTGGAGTTCTGTGTTCTGTCTCCTGAGGATTAAAGCGAAAGTTAAAAATACTTGACATCTCTCTCACAATAACTTGTCGGGGCCTCATGCAGGGTTAAAAGAAACAATTCTGTTGGGCGCCTCATATCCAAGTTTCCATCAAGTTCAAGTTAAACAGCTGAACATCGATAGAAGCTTCATGACACTTGGACCTGAGACAGAAACCAACCAGTTCTGATGGTTCAACACCAGAGTCGCCCTCGATCTCTCCGGGGCTCCAACGCTGTAACTTATTAGCACCATAAGATCCATTCAAACTAACTGTCTCCGCTATATTTCAAAATGTAAAATGCTCGCCCGTGTTCAGGAGCCTCAGAACATCGCTGCAGTGTCTATAGGAGCACCAGAGCTATGGTGAAGTGAGCAACACCCGGGAAAGAAAGAGGCCTCGTGCTCGAGTCAAAAACAACCCGAGTCACGACAACGTCTGTACGAAAAACAGCTCGTGCTGCAAATATTTGTTGATCAATTCCTCAGTGTGTGAAAGAAAAATCATAAACCAGAGAAAACCTCAGATCAAGTCTTGTTTTGTGAGAGGAAAATGATTTAAAGCAGAAAAGCAGCAGGTCCTCGCAGTGAACCACTGGAACCACAGAACCATTAGAGGTTTGGAAAAAACAAAGTTATTGCAGATAAATCTTCTGTGGACTGAATAATGAATTGTTTCAGCTCCAAAAACAGCCACATTCAAGAGTTTGAGACTCGAGAGATATTCTTTGAGGATTTTCTCAACTGTACACATGGAAGAACATTTAATCTTTTTAAATTTGTCTGAGAGTCTTCACATGTTGGGTGGATGGTTAAGATTCAACACAAACTTGAATTTGCTTTATTTTCCATTTTTTGGGGATTTATTTATTATTTCATCGTCTCTGAAAACACATTCACTCCCGTGGTGCGATCGACCGCTCTACAACAGTTACTATTATTGTTAAAACACACAGTTATTTGTTTGTGTGTGATACAGTTTGTGTTCTTAGCAACAGAGATGAAAAAGAAGCCAAACTTGTAATTGCACAAATTCCCACAGTCAACAGCACACATCATTATGTGTCATTAGAGGACGTCCATCTTGTTCCAGACCACAGAGCTAATCATCTGTATCATTAGCGTGCGGTCCTGAGTGGCAGCATGAAGCCACAGCAGCTAATGGAGCAGAAGCGTTGTTTCACATCAGTGTCAGTCTGCAGCACGGGCACGTTTACATGCAAACCACATGTTCTTGCTCCTTATTATAGGTTATGTAATCCCACTCATCACAACCCAGTCACTCCACCTTTTCCTTCTCTGTCTGGCTCTTTTGTTTTCTTTTCGTTCTCACGTACTCAAACACACACGCGAGCCAGCAGCTCTGAGGACATACATGTTTGAACCGACTGCCCTTTAAAGGACAAAACCTGAGACTGAACCCCCCCACAGGTACTTCTACTGACCGTCAGTAGCTCTGTCCACTTTTGGAAGCATGAATAGCATTTTTTTTTTATTAAATGCTAATAATACTAATCCGTGAGGCCACTGCGGACGTGTGTGGAGCAGTTCTTCTGTCAGCCTCTTGTGGTTCTAACATCTTGGAGCAAATAAATGTTAGAGAAAGGACACTGTGGCCAGCCAGAGAAATTAAACAACTCAGCAGAGCGAGGTCAGCTTTAGAAAATCAGTCTGTCCGAGCTAATGAAAACAGTTATTCAAACCTCCTGCCCACACACACGCACAGAAAGAGAGAGAGAGAGAGAGAGGTCAACAAGAATTAGCATATAAACAAGAACCTCTTGTACATTTGCAAAAGTTTGGGGTTCATGATTTTCTCTTCCAAGTTGAAAAGTCGTCTCAGCCTGAGTGAGAAGTTTGTTCTTTTAAGAAAACGTGCAACAGTGATGTTAAACTGACCGTCCTGGAATCTGGAAATGTTCATCTCCCCTGATGGTCACTGGAGTTTTACAATCTGGCTGAGAACAACATGCATATTTTAAATGAGACTATCCAGAAAGAATGTATTGTGTATCCATGTCACTGTGCTCCACTCCAGCGCCTTCTAGTGTCTCACAAATAAACCGAGGACTATTTGTGCAACACTGTACAAAAACAATTTAAAGTAGAAATGCTTCAAAGCTTAAATTAAAATGTAGTAAAAGAAAACACAGTTGGTGATAGATAGATGTGGTAAAACAATACAAACTGACGAGATTTAATCAGGTCAAATGAAAAAGCTTTGTTTCCATCCTGCTTCACGGCAATACAGAAATAAATAAGAGAAACAATGAGGAATAAAATAAATAAAAATCAAATGCAAGTCAAGTGGCTCTTTAACCATCTTAGGTCACATGGGAGACAGATCCAAGGTTAATAAGACGATTACTATTTGACATCATCCAGAACACTTTTAATTACATTTTAAACACATAGTCTTACGAGCAGGACCAGACCCAAAGAGTTGACATTATTTCTGGGAATGAGTGTGACTGCTTCACCTCTAGATGGCAACATAATCAAACTGTTGACTTAGTGTCCATTTTTAAAGCGACCATAAGGAGGCGCTGCAGGGCAAAGCATCAGTGATGCACCTGTTACTGCTGAGAGGTGAGGATGAGGCAGCTCAGGAGGCTGCTTTGTGTTGACTGTCTGCCTCCATGATACACATCATCAGAAACAATGACCTCTGGATGGTTCGGTGAAGTTTACTGTCAGTGGCGAGTTAAAGGAAGTGCACGAGTTTGAATGTGGCGACAGTGAGGCTGTGACTGAATGGCGGCCTCCTGGAGGAGGAGGAGCAGGAGGAGGAGAAAACAGCACCAGTGAGACGGAGGTTGATTCCCCGGCCCAGTGATTTGTTTCGGTGGTGACCGGCTCTCACAACTCACTGTCGCAATGCAGCCAAACCACTGAGCAGTCTGAGCAACACCCACCGTCGGGTTCTAACCAGAATCCTCATCTAACTAATTCACCCCCCGCCCCCCGCCGCCGCCGCCGCCTGTGTAAATGGCTCCTGCTGTATTTGTAGCTGTGTGAAACTGAGGAAATCATCCTGCGTTTGTCAAACAGCAGCAGACGTTTCTTTAAACCGTTAATTTAATAAAGCTGCTCCTGCTGCACTCGATCACCGAGACAATGAAGTGACTCAGACACGTGGGGGACGATGACCTCCAGTCAATATATCAACTCTACGAAACTTCAACATTCAGTTTTTTCAATTGTTCCCCAAATATTCTTCCCACATGTTTCAGAGACTTTTCAATACACGTGCGTGGGGACTTTTGGCAAAACCATAAACCTGCCGAGCGCAAGAAGCCAGATGAGAAGATCGGCATCACTCCCACCACCCCTCGACCACCCTCCGTTAATAAGTATGGAACCAGAGTTGAGAGTCTCCTACAACTTACATTTATATGCTGCTGGTCTGCAACTACAGGGAGGAAGTATGGAAACTTAGTTCGGAAACTTCCATTAGAGTTATTGACGACGGGACAGGACAAAAGTGGTCTGTGCTTTTAACCATATTTAGATTT